ATGCAGTGGCCCTTCTGAACACTAGGGGCCTATCATCAGGCCCAGGCCACACTGACATCTCAGGCACCACCGGTCTACTCAGCCGTCCAAGGAGCCCCTATCTGCCCTACCACTCCTAGAGGCCCTGTAATAGACCAGGGTGGGTCTGGGCATCACTGAGAGCATCAGATCAGGGCGAGTTGCTCAAAACCAGGGATACTTACAGCCCACGATCGGAGTCCTTTCCCATATAGGCAACAACCAGTCACACGGAGCACTTCAGCTGTCAAACTGGCCAGCAGGAAGCCTCACAAGAAAACCCCTCAGACACCCCAGCTTCCTCTGTGCCATAATCAAACCCAGACCTTACACACAGGCGAGAGGTTATAAAACCCAATCTCACCAACTCCGAAAAGATCTTCCCAGTCCCAAAGGCCAAGCCACAGACCCAGGTCAATTTATGCCTCAGATCTTACCCACAAGAGAACGCCGGGCCAATCCTTTAGAATAAAAAAATCTAAAGATTTATTAATGAAAAGAAAGAAAAGGGCTGCAAGTGAGATTGCTAAAGAGGATACATCACATACCTCAATCACCAAGTTCTTGATGCAGGAAGGGGCAGATGACCGTTTTGCGGGGCCCCGGGCAGCATAATTCCGCGGGGCCTCCCTTTGCCACGGCGCATGCGCGGGGCTTTCTGAAGCGCGGGGCCCGGGGCGGCCGCCCCGTTCGCCCTGCCCTATATCCGCCCCTGGATGCAGGCTCTTAGCAGAGATGTTACAAACTGCCAGCTTAAAAGACTGGTGTACTTCCTGTATCAGACGGGTCAGCAAATCCTTCCTGGCTCTCTGTCCCTACAAGGATGCATCTGGAATCAGGAGCAGGACTGAAGACAAGCTGGAGATGCCCTCATTGTACTTTTATATTCCTGGTGTTTCCTAAACTGGTGCTGGTCACATGATCAAGTGACTGGTTTGTGTTTCACATGCAAGTAGCCGTTATGCACTGGCCAGTCTGCAGGTTTCCAGACACATTCCTCAGGTGTGTATTGTCCATCTGAGAGTCATTGCCCACAAAGCAGTGCTAGTTAGCACAGCCATAGGCCCATTGCTCCCTCCCAGACAGAGAACATTTCAAATACAAGGACAGAGCCCATATCCATAACTTCACATACGAAATCATACAAGCATATGAGCAGCATACACAGCATCTGTAGCGCATAAGCTTTCATTTGACACCTCACTCGGCCCACTTTGTACTGAACTCGGTGCAAACACCACCAGTGGGTGCAACAGTGATCTGCCTGCTCATATTAAAATCCAATAATATGACAGGCCCACAGATCCGAGTCCAGGCATAGCCTACAAAGGGCGAGTCCCCGGTGACCTTGCCGACCCCAACCACCCAACAACCTACTCAGGTGGAGGGAGAGGTGGTGCAGGATCCTGAGGAACAGGCCTCCCTCAGAGAGTCTTCCTCCTCGTCGCCCGAGGCAGCGGTGGGCACATCACCCTCTCTACCCACCATGGACACAATGGCACATCAGGACCTGTTGAGAAGGCTGGCCCAAAACCTTGAGGTGCAGATGGGGGAGGTTTTAGAGGAGTCTGATCCAATGGTGGACATTCTGACAGCTATGGGGTCCTGGTCCCTGCTACTTATTAAGACTGTGACTAACATGACCGAGGTGCTATGGCCGACCCCCCAGCTTCTCTTCCCCTGTTGGCCAGAGGGGTGGTGAGTTGTTATTTTTGTCCCTGAAAGGGACCATGAGCATCTGTTCACACACCCTCCCCCCAGGCACTTTCCAGGGACAGGCTGGAAACCACGGGGAGAGAGAGCGAGCTCAGGCCAACCCCAAAGGTCAAGGCACCCAAGAGGCATGATGTATTAGGCCGACAGGTCTATGCCACAGCAGGGCCTATAGCACCACATTGTGACTCAGCAAGCAATGCTCGGTACGTATGCCTACCACTCTTGGTCAGCCCTAGGCATATGTAAGGAGCGTCTCCCTTCCAATGCCTGTCAGCAGTTCGGGGCGGTGGGAGAGGAAGACACGGTCATCTAATGCACATTCCTTCAGGCTGAACTGGCTGTAGCAGCCCGTACTATGGCCACAGCCATACTTCTGTGCAGAAACTCATGGCTGCAGGTATCTGGCATCCTGCCTGAGGTCCACAATGCGATTCAAGTCTACCCTTTGAGGCCCGAGCCTTTTCTCAGACCAAACAGACTCAAAGTTACATTGCCTGAAGGACTCTGGGGCGATCCTTACATTGTTAGGCATTCACACTCTGGCCCCACAAAGGAGGCCCTTTAGACCCCAGCCATCCTTATGACCGTATCCCCCACTGCCTAGGCAGGACTTCAGTAGATACAGGGGCAGAAATAACAATGGCAGGAATGGATGGAGATGCTCGAGGTCCTCCTCTGATCAGGATGCGGACCCCTCCAATAAAGGCCAAGGCCCCAAAGTTAGATTTTGAAGGTGTGCCGAGGACAGCTTTACAGTCCTTCCCATGGACTGTCTTCCATTCATCAATTGACTTTCCCCATTCGGCCATGCCTGGGCACAGATTGGCTACGTCTAGACTGGCATGATTTTCCGCAAATGCTTTTCACGGACAAGTTTTCCATTAAAAGCATTTGCAGAAAAGAGCATCTAGATTGGCATGGACGCTTTTCCGCAAAAGCACTTTTTGCAGAAAAGTGTCCGTGCCAATCTAGACACGCTTTTGCGTAAAAAAGCCCCGATCGCCATTTTCGCGATCAGTGCTTTTTTGTGCAAAACAATACCACGTTGTCTACACTGGCCCTCTTGCGCAAAAGCAGCTGCTTTTGTGGAAAAACTTACCAGTCTAGACACAGCTTCTGTGTTTCATCTGGGTACCCAAGGCAAGTCAGTTTTTGCCAGCCCAATAATGTCTCTTCCTGAAGGGCAAAGACTGGTTGTACACACAGGTGCAACAACCTCTTCCACCCTAGGACCTTAACTTGGCCATCACAAGACTCATAGGGCCACCTTTTAGCCTTGACTGACTCTTAGCTGCATCTCTTATGGAAAATGACATTCTTGGTGGCTATTATATCAGCTTGATGGGCACCAGAACTCTGAGCTTTAACCTCAAACCCTCCTTACAGTTTTTTTTTTTTTAAGGCAACGTAAGAACGACTATAATGGTCAGACAAAAGATCCATCTAGCCCAGTATCCTGTCTTCCAACAGTTGCCAATGCCAGATGCCCCAAAGGGTGTGAACAGAACAGGTAATCATCAAGTGATTGCTCTCCTGTCACCCATTTCCAGCCCCTACCAGGGACACCATTCCTACCCATTCTGGCTAATAAGTATTAGTGAACCTAACCCCTATGAATGTATCTAGTTCTTTTTTGAACCCTGTCAAAGTCCTGGTCTTCATAACCTCCTCTGGCAAGGAGTTCCAAGGTCAAACAATGCCCACATCCAGCATTTTTACCTAAGGGTCATGTCCTAATTTCTTATAAATCAGGATATTTTACTCCCAATTTTCTTTCCTAAATGACATGCTAATACAGAATGAACTCTCCACACTCTGGCTATAAGACATGCTTTGGCATTTTATTTGAGAAAGCAACCCTCCATCTCCACAGCAGAGAAGACCGTGTATAACTTCACAGATCACAGCCTGTATCAGGATCCATTATGATTTTGCTAACATGCCAGTGCCTGCAAACACGGCCCAGCACCCTAATGCGCACGCCTCGTCAGTGGTCTTTGTGGCACAGGTACCCATCCTGGATATATGCAGGGCAGCGACCTGATCTTCCATACACGTTCTCCAACCACTATGCCATTTCCCAGAATGCAAGGGATGATGACGCAGGTAGAGCTGTGTTGCTATCCATTTCCAATTAGTCTTCAACCAAACCTCCTTTAGTACAGCTTGGGAAGTCACTTAAATGGAATGGACACGAGCAATTGCTCGAAGAAAAAACAGTTAACTACCTTTCATCATTGTTGTTCTTTGACACACATCGCTTATTTCCATTTCAAATCCTTCCCCTTTGTCAGAAAGTTCTGACAAGAAAGGAGGGGGCAGGGTGAAGGCTCACAATGACTAGGGTATAGATGCACCACTCCAGAGGCTCCCCCTGCTGGCCAAAAAGGATACTTGAGGGAAAAGCCTTCTGACAATCTTGCATGTGGGGGGTACACACCACTATGGAACGGACATGAGTAACATCTCTCAAAAGAACAAATTACAAAAGGTTGGTGACCACTTTTTAACTCCATCTTAATGCTGCTGAGGTCAATTCTCAATGCTGCAGATGTACTCCGTTTCTGGTAGATACCCAAGATAGACTATCCAGAACTTTGGATTGTTCAGAATAGGTTGGGTAGCTCCCGCTCCATGAGGAGGCGTACTGTACATAAAGGAGTCATCCAGGGTGAAATTCAGAGTCTCCCCAGATCCACCCAAAGAGCCAACTACCTCAAACAGTCACAGACTGCATCTCTCAGCCAGCAAAAAAACTACCATCCAAGAATATGATTCTGAAGCATTTTTCCCAGGCCACTCAGAATGCTGCTGTGAGGAGGATTTGTGTTACAATGTAGGGTGTATTGCAGTTTTCCTGATCCACGTTTCAGAGATACACATTTAAGTTTTCAGCAAACAGAAGGCTGATTGCTGTCCAAGACCATCCAACAGGCAGGATTCCTTCCCATTGCACCAACTCTAATCAAGGTGAGGAGAAAATGGTGAGAAGCAGCGCTCTACTCCTAAAAAGCATGAACACACAAACATCCTATTGCTTGCTTGACAATTTGAGGAAGTCAGTCAGTCTGTACTTGGAGCAATCATATCCCGTAACTATTTGTGACTAAGAATTATTGACTTCTGGATGTATGAAGCAAGTCAGAACTGCAGAAATTATTCACAGCTTACGATGAGAAGTGCATAATCAATGTTATGTTGAGGGAAAATGCCTTAAAAATGAGATCTCCAATGGTAAAACTGTCAAAAAGCAACAGTGCTGCAGATCCCAGTATAAAGTATTTATTTAATACTCAACAATTAACACAAAGTCCTCCTTTAAATTCTTTTTTTTTTTTACAGTAAATAAAAATGTATTATTCCCCCCATGCATGATCACTGTGTATTAATCTAAGCCTTTTATTTTAGATGTGAAAAAATAAAGTGTTTCCCCGATTTCATCTTTTAATCATACAGCTATCACGTGGCGCACTGCATTGAAAGGAGACAAGATGTAGTATTATGCCTAATGCACAGTTTGTGGTTATTTTTTTTTACATAAAGTGTTAAATGAATCAACCACCCAATAAAAATAAATATTGTATCATAAAGAACTGATAGTTTTGCAGTATCCCTTTTCTGTAAATAGAAATTGTTTCAAAGATTTCCATGTGCCTCATCACAAAAAAGGTACTGGCTTTGTTTGATTACAAAAACAAAACCACAAACTGTCACCTTTACACACTATTACAGACCTAAACCTAAAAAAGGCTCTACTCTAAAAGAAGAAAACTATGTGATGGAGTAGGTTTATTAGCTGCTGAATATCTACATATAAAACAAGGCTAAGAAATTATGGTCTAAATAGCAGCCAATCTACATTCAAATGATCCACTCTAGTGAAAGGATAGGTGAACTTGTAAAGGAAGATTTTTTTCACGAATGGTGTGACCTGGAGACTGATTTTAGATACACAGCACATTTTGCTAATTCCTGTGACAGGAATGAATTTAGGGAGGTGTGTGTCGAAGTGTCATGGGCGTGCACCTTTAATTACACTCTTTGGACTGTCTTGAAATACCATGGCACTGGGTTTAGAGAGAAGCGCTACTAGTTCCTCTGCCTTTCAAGACATTTCTTAGTGATGGCATAGATCAAGAATTTTTCATAAACTAAAACAAAACGGGTTTAAAAACGTAAAGCAACAAACTAATGCTTATCCTTTATTTTGTTATTGTCAAAAAAGGGAATACTGCATTTGAAACTGTAGAAGACTATATATCTTAATCAAAACCACCAGCCAGCATATTGGAAGTCAGATTATCTTTCCAATCAGTTCTTTCAGCTATTTTTTTACATAAATAATATAGACCAAACATCATAAAACATTTCAGCAACCTTCTTTAACAGAACAGAGAAGCTCTTTTAGTTGTTGAGAAACAATTGCAGGACTCAAATTCTGAAATTGTCTTTTGAGTTATCAAATTGCCAAATTCACGCAGCTCCTAACGAAAAAAAAAAAAAATCAATCGAGTTCAATAGGACTGCTATCTTCTTGACCATCTTCTGCATCATCATCTTCTCCAGTGCCCATCAGACTGTTTAAAAGATTTCCTATAATTAAAAACAAGATAGCTACATTTTAGTTTTGGAAAACTGGTGAATTAAACTTTTTTATTTTGAAGTTTGTTACTGTAATGGAATGGATAATTAAAAATATAAATAGACAAGGCATTCCCCAAATTACAGTAGTTTCACAGTAGGGTCTAAAGATGTTAAACTGATGTTAATTGACTCGTCGAGTAGTCGATAGAATTTCCATTGACTACTCCACTAATCGATAGGCACTTCCGCATTCCTCATTTGAAATGTACAAGAGCCCCTGCTGCGGCTCCTGTACATTTCAAAGGAGGAATGAGGAACTCCGTGTGCAGCCCGGGGCCAGCTGGAAGTCCTGCTGACTCTGGGCTGCACACTGCGACCCTGCTTTGAAATGTACAAGAAGCACCAGCGGGGGTTCTTGTGCATTTCAAAGTCACAGCATCCTCATGGAGCTCGGGATCAGCGGGGGACTCCCCAGCTGACCCTGGGCTCCACAGTGCTGCCCCTCTGAAAGCTGCTTCAGCGTTTCAAAGGGGCAGCGCTGCACAGCCAGCTTAGCTGTGCGGCGTTGCTACTTTGAAATACTCCTTCTTTCCCTCCCTCCCCCCCTTTGCTGCTTCTATCTGATGGACAGGTCACAGACAAAGAAAAATTCAGAGCCCATGACCTGTCCATATACCATTAACTAGAACTTGGGCCAGGGGATCACGGGTGCTTTTTTGGGGGAGAGGAGGGCAGGCCAGGAGTGTCCCAGGACCCTAGCTGGTTTGGGGGGCCAGAAGCAGCGGTGCACAGCCTCTGACCTCCACTGGTGGTGAGGGGGTAGGGAGAGGCACAGCAAGCAATGGTATGCAGCCGGGAAGGGCAGGTAGAGGGGCTGGCAGACTCCCTACCAGGTTCTGCGCAACTCCCTAGAAGCAGCCAGCACATCCCTGCAGCTCCTAGGAGAGAAGGCCAGTGGATGTCCACATGCTGCCCTCGCCATGAGCTCCAGCTCTGCAGTGCCCCATTGGGCAGCACCTCCAGGTAAAGGCAACATGCTCAGCCCCGATCTCTATGCCTACATGCTGCAGGAATGTGACAACTGCTTCTGGGGAGCCCCCTCCCTCCCAGTTAAAGGCTGCCCCACACCCCAAACTGAAACTCCTTCCACACCAAAACTGGAGCGGCACTCAGGCAGCCCTGGGGCCAGCCACAATGAACATTGCATAATCACAGAGGTCACAAAAAATCATGGAATCTAATTTCTGTGGCCTCTGTGATGGACATGCAACCTTAATTATAAACCAAAGTAGTTTCTAAGAGCTAATTTCTGTATGGGAAAATATTGTAGTCCATTTTTTTGTACAGTGTGGTATAATATGTTCTATTCAGATATTTTAAAAAAAACCCAAAATGTGAGTAGTACTCAGTAACTGATATTCTGATTTCTATTTCAAATAAGACTTTTGTAGGAAAAAAAACTCTGTATTAATATGAATTCCTCATGAATAAACAAACATTTACTACCCAAGCATTACTCTGAAAAATATTAGACTTCTCTGTAAGGTTCCAGTCCCACAAATACTTCCAGAGGTACTCAAGCTCGTGAGTGTTTTATAAATTTCAAATCCATGTATTTTTCAAGTGTCATTGATTTTATATCTGTGATTAATACTATCTATGCTTACTTATGACAAAGACACAGTGTACATAAATTAATTTTGATTTAATAAATTAGGCCAAATACAATAATTGGTGACTAATATTCCATTAACAAGTACTATTTCCAACAAGATTAGATAGTGCATCCATAGACTGTTCTTTGTTATAAATTACCTAGTAATCCTCCATAGGATGATGTCTGCTTAGGTGGAACTCCAAAGAAGAGCTGTCCTATTCTATCTAGGTACTAAAATGACACACAAAATAGATGTTAGATACTTTAACATGTATGAAAACACTAAAATAAGAAAAGTCAACCCCTATAATATTCTAGGAACACAACTTCTCTCTCCAATTTGTGGAGAAACCATTACAAACAGCCACACAGTTAAGACAATGTGCTTTATATTAATGAATCACCATAACTGCATTCTTAAAAGGCAATTTTCTAAATCTAACATTTGCATGGTAACTATTAGTCTCATTTGATGAAACCCTGAGAAGAGTTAAGAGTCAAGAGTCATCTGTTGCATTTTATTAGGTTTCACAATGCAGTATGCATGTGTGTTACATTGAAAAGGCATTATTTAATCAATTCCATTGGGCTGAATTAGAACTAACTACTGATTACTCACTTCATTATACATGGGATCTCTTTTCAGCGAAGGTTGATACTGTTCACACAATACTGTAAATACTGTTAGTTTTCCTCTACAAAAGGAAACAAAGCACAAATGTAATCTTCGCACAAAATGAAAAAGAATTAAAAACAAAGGAATAAGAATTCATACCCATCAACAGCCAGTAACAGAAACCAGATGAAATTTAGTAATGGTTGTACAAATGGAGGCCCCTTTTCTATTGAAGGATGTTTCTGTGTATATGTCGTAAAAACCACTGATGCACTGGTCTTATTTTTTAAGCAGAGAAATCTGAAAGAGTAAACAATGAAAGGGTAAAATGGTGTTTGGAAGTTCCAAGAATTTTTTTTTAAACTAAGAAAAAAAGGTCTAATGTTCAATCTGATTTCCAATAACTTTAACTTAAATAAGCCACATCATGCTAATATCAACTGATCAGCCTGTTAACAGAAGCTCTATTTTAAAAGTGAAGAGTTCTAGCACCCGCTTTAAAAAAAAAAAATCAGCCAAGGAGAAAATTGTTAAAGCTACTTTAAAGAAAACCAGATGTATTTGCAAATTCACAAGAATCACCCTATTAGTTTAGATAGGTAATCTAAAGGAAAACAGGAATCTAGTCAACTTTATTCAACCTTAAGCAGAAGCACATGAAATATTATAATAGGTGCTTCTTTTTATGTATTATACAGGTTAACTGGAGCTGTTCTTTCCTATGGCCAAAAGTTTATCCCTTTGAAGTACATTTTAATTTAAGTGGATACCTCATTTTTCCTGGTCTCTAAAATAACCGTCCTCTTTTAGTCTGCATCTGTTAAACTTGAATGACAAAAACTTCCTTTCTACTCTTGATATAGATTCAGAACTAAGACATCAAAGAAATTCTGTCCACAGTGAATCTAAATGTCTACAAGTCGTATCTTAAGTAAATACAGTCAGATTCTCAAATAGCATTTCCCCAGATTGATGACCAAAATCAGATTATTGAGTAATGTCAAGTTACTTCTAGTTATAGTCTTTGCAAGACCCAAAAACTTATTGGGAACTTTGTCCTCTCGTGGTTAATATTAAGGTGCAATGAGAGATTTGTTTTCAGGTCTGTATTAGCCTCTGTTCCTGAATCAGACATTGTGGGCTTTTTTAAAAAAATGTTTTTTTTTTCATTATTATTCACAGCAAACCAAGAAGTTACAACATCAACTTTATGTAAGATTATAGCTTGTGGTAAATCCACATATGTTGTAAGACTTATTCTACCTACCCATCTAGGTCAGTAAAAGATTAAGTTGAATAAATATGGGTTGGTATATTATACCTTTACAAATTCTCTTCATCGTATATAATTGCTCTGCCTATACTGGAAACCCATAAAGGAACTGCTCCAGTTTACTGCAACATTCTCCAACTTGTAAATGCAGAAAGACTTGGTATAAGCAATACTTCAGTGTAACAGAAGCAACTACTGCTCCAACCTGTCCAACTCGCCACATAAGATGCTTATTATAATTAAAAAGTTAGAGATGACAGATGAGAAAGGAGCCATTTTCACAGGCAGTTAGAATCAGGCAGCCTGATCATCTTCAGAGCGTGTTAGTTAAAAGAACTAAAACTGACATAGTCAAAGTTAGAAAATCAAAGTATTTGACATATACAATTATGCAGGTTTGCAAATGGATATATTTCTCCCTCTGCAATAAATACTATATGATCTTAGGAAACTGGCAGGAACTCTACTCACTGAAGAATTCAACAAATGCCATTGAATATGCTCGAGGGAACTCTGACGCTCTGGGGGTAGGGACTACATTGGCTTGTGTAGTCCCACAACAACGATCTGGGCCTCTTGGCACCACCATGACATGAATAATAATGGCAAGGACATATTTCAGTGTCAGGCTTTCAGGAGTTATGACAACAAGAACAGGATCTTGCAAATGATTAATTCATTTTTAACATAAGGGCACTAATATAGCCTCTTATAAGGAGAACTTTTACTTTAACAATGAGGATGCTATTTTCAGATTCAGATGAATTAGTTTAGTTCTCCCAATAATCAGTCTGATTTCACACCTTCACTTTAAAAAAAAAAAAAAAAAAAAAAAAACACAAGTTATGGGAGTGGGTCACATACAATCTTTGAATCCATACACAAAGTTTCTCTCATTAATTCCCTAAAAAACTAAAACTTTATTCTTTATGATTTTTTGCAAAAGATACCTTTAACTCAGTTAACCTGGTTAACTTGAGACCAGACTTCAGAATGCAAGTAGTTTAATCTGACACTTTGCACAGCAAACACTTTTATAACAAACACTTTTATAACAAATAAATGTTGAACGCTTACTGTAACACTGCCTGAGCTACAAACATGTCCACCTCACTGCAATATCCCCTGGATGATGAGTATTCTACTAGCATATTAGCACATCCTTCACCATCTGTGGAGTGTAAGAAGTGATACCGAGATTCACAATAGTTTTGCTCTACAGAAGAAAGACAAAAAGAACACACCTGCTAAGAAATCCGTTTATTATGTTTAATTCAAGAACATTTGGTAGGCTTGTTCCTTTTCCAAACAGATAGGTAATGGAAGTTATGATGGGTACATACAACAAATTCAAGGAAACCGCCATTTGTCTTTGCAAATAAATGCTAAATAAATTTTGAATCGGTAATTTAAAATTGTTTGTATTCAGACATTGCTTCTCCAATATAAAAATCCATCTTACTCCTCAAATATGCCAAATTACAATCTTGACTACCAATAGTAGTAGGATGAGTAGAGAAGAAGTTTCACATTAAATTCAAAAGTCTAGAGAGTCCTGTGCAGATACAACATTTATATCTGCATCTGTATCCACAAAAATGAGCTGTGGATATGTGTCTCCCTACCCCAGTCTGCAAATGCTGATACCTGCAGATATAAAGTAGAAGGCCACAAATTTGCTGGGTTCTACAAATATCCTGAAATCGTGTGAAGAGAATTTTAGTCTGACCCATTCCCACTACCAAAAAACTTAATTTCTCTACTGTAGCAGAAGAGAACAGAAAATAAAAAGATTTACTAGAACTTAGTTTCAGGCAAGACTCAATGGTCATACTAAATCAAAGCCATGATATTATTTATATCTGAACCTGAAAGTCCCTTTTTAATAATCCAGGCTTCTTCAAATCAAAGTCTCAAAAGATATGACCTAAGAAAACACACACTAATCTGTGGATTGATAGCAAGTCATCTGCTCCAGAGTAAGCACACTCAATGTAAGTGCATGCTGTTTATTTTGTCTATCAGGTCTGTGCTCCTTCTGGAGTTTCGTTAAAAAAAACCAACCCTAATGCTTCAGAAATATTCTCATTCAGCTGCTGACAACAGCAATACCAGTCAAATGCCAACCAGTAACTCACAATTACATCAGAGAAATAACATCGCACATCAAACAAACAAAGGCAGTCTGAACTTCTGACTCTGGGATAAAGTTTACTATTTTTGACTTACAGCCTAATTTCAGGGCTGCAGAAGAGCAGGTCTGATTTTGTTTTGTTAGAAAATATACTTACAATATTAGTATTGATAAAGATCCATGGGGCATCAGAGAAAGTGACTTTTTGTTCAATTATTCTCAAATGTTTGTATATACTGTACATAAGACATCTTATTCAGCCATAAATTATGTACGAATTTCTGAGTTTTTACACACCTCTCTGTTATCTCAACATTTTACATTTGATTTCACGCATAATGAAACCACTATATTTCACTATAAATCCAAGAAGGGGATTGGTTATGTTAAATAAGTCTGATGGTCAGAGCTCAATTTCATATAGACGTCAAGTCAAAAATCTAAAGACCACTAGAAGTCTTGTCATGTGCTGAAATTGTCTCTGGCTAGTTTGTCCAGTTTTTTTTTTTTTTTTTTTTTTTTAAAGCAAACACTGAAATAATTTCTAACTGGAGGTGTTTTAACCTTTATTGGGATTAGCCTGGGTTTACCAGAACACTAGATGGAAACCTCACTCTGTGCTCTGCAATAGGTTTGTCAAACAATTTTAACTTACACAACATATACAAATTTATATTTCCATTTTTTACTTTTACGTTGCTGATATCTTAAAATATTTTAATTTTAGTATTACAAAAATGATTCAAAAACAATTATTCCTACCTTTCCACAACGTGATGGCTAATAACTGATGTAATTTCGGATGACCGAGTTTCCCTGATCCACCACTGGACCATTTCAGTGCTCTGGACACAAAAGCTACTCTCTCAGGAGAATTTGGATCCATCAAGCTAAATACTTTAGCCAAGTTTTCTAAAAGCAATACAAATATGTAATTAACATTACCAGAAACGTAGCAGAGTTTCTCCTGTTATCAGTAAACCTTTGTAAAAACATCTTTAATGATTAGTTGTTGTTCTTAAATGAGTGACTTTGCACAATGTACTTCCATTTGTAAAAGTCAATCTTAGATCTGTAAATCAGTAACATCCAATTGACCTCTCCGCTGCAGTGCCAGAAACCATACTCTGCCCAGTAACTGGCACTAGGTAGGAACAGCTTTCCATGTCCCATGGCTTAGGACAGATGTTCCTCTGTTGTCAAGAAGTTCCAATTAGGAGACAAGGCTTCAGATAGGAAGGTGCACACCAGTCATAGGAAACATCAGGAACGGGAAGCCTGTAATTAGGAGCAGGGCTGTCAGAGGACCGTGGAGTGAAATGCCAGACTGAATCTATGGAAACAAAGTGCAATCCCTATCCCATTCTCCAGTTGGTCCGCAGATCCCTAGAACAGCAGCTGATGTGGAAGGGACTCTTCATATGATTTCCAGCTGGGCAGCTCACAAGAAGGGCTTTACGAACTGCACGCTTACCGAATCAGACAGTCCGACAAGCAAAGTTTCTTTGACAAAATGGCCGACCCGCGGGCAATGCACACATCACCACACTGACTGGATAGGAAGCCGCTGTCCATCAAAGCGGCGGAGAGGTCAATTACTGTGCAGACAATACTTGTCGCTCCTGTTGTGGGGAGAGGACAATGCCAAAAATCATGCTCCACCTACAAAACATAGTGATGTTTTCTCAAAGTATGTCTGTATGCTTAGAGCCACATCAATTACTGAGAATCCATTATTTTTCCAGCAGTTTTGTCTGTGTGTCACTTCGGGAACTAAATTAACCCCATAGCAAAAAAGGAGCCCATAACTCATAGCACAATGAAAGGGATTGAAGGTTTAGGAGAATATTACATTTCTGATAACACAAGTTTCTTGAAGTACAAATACATGTTAAGCTTGGTCAAACTAAACACGAGATAATCTCACCTAGTAGTTCATCTGTTACTTTTGCATCCGATTTCTCTAAGGATTCCAAAACCAGCATGGACAGATCAGCAGCACTGTTTTGCTACAAAATGTGCACAAAAAACACAGTTAGTGAAGTAACTGTCAGTTGCTAGGGAAAAAAAAAAAAATCAAAAAATGCTTAAAGAATTTTGTGAAAGGCAGATAATTTTTAGATGGAATGGACAATTAATCATGTTCTAGACTCACAAACATTAGTAATTTAATGAAGTAAACCAAAAACCTGCATGAAAATACAGCATGACTGACTTAAGCTACAGATGCAGTGTGGACACACATGTATGTCAAAGTCTCTACAAGTGATTGAATTCAGAGCTATGCAGACTTGCATGCACTGGGAAAAGACTATACAGTAACTTCCTACAACAAAGGCTTGTCTACATGGGGACAGTCAGGAAAATTAAGACAAATTTTCCTTGAAGGAGGACTAAGTTAACTAACACTACACAAAGGTGCTTTAACTTAGGTACTGCTTCTGGATCTTAGCTGATTTGTCTTAGCTTTTCTAATTGCCTGACTGTAGACAAGCCCCAAGACTGCTTATTAGCCTAAAACTTTTTGCACTAATGATTCACCAATCATTGCCCAAACAATTGGAAAAAAAAATTAAAAAGTTTTCTTACTTGGCTGTGACTGAAGAACAACAGTGCCCCTGAATACATCAGTTCTCTTGCTTCTACGTGTTTGCCTTGGGACATATATCTGCAATTAAAAAAACAAAACAAAAAATTGACACACAAAGTACCATTAAATGACAGTTTTCCACATACTCAAAATCACTTGAATTTGAAAGTAATTAAATACTGCTTGAAAACATAAGGTGAGACAAAGATTGACAAGATGTTTGTATTTAAAAAAAAAAATCAATGTATGGGCAAATGAAAATTACAATAAAGCTGGTTGCATAGAAGGCAAACCGTATATAAATGGACCTTTTTATAAATATTTTTAAAATTTCTTTTTCCTAGTCATCACCCAAAAGGAGAGCTGATTAAAAGTTATAAGCATATGAAAACAAAGAATTATAATGGAACTTTTGAACATCACATTATCACTTTTGGGTTAACAAAATATTTAAAAATACAATTTAATGTTCTTAATCTCCTGGAACAGCTCCAAAATGCTGGTTTGATACATACAACAACTACGTGAACAATAAATGAAAGTCTCCAGCATGTCCTATTACATCAATTAAAAATGGAAGTTTAAAGTGCGTTCAGTATAAATGCTACACAGCACTAACATACAGTTGACAAGGACAAGCTTGCCTATCACAGACCTCTCCATTCAACTTTCACTTTCTTCTCCCCAGATTACCTCTTTTGGCTGCTACACAAGAGGACATGGTAAATACAATCATCCTTTATAGAATCAAATTAGCTACATTTTGATAGGGTCTACAAAGGTGACAGCAATTAGGGAGTTACCACACAATATTCCAAAGAATCTGAACAGTCCCTTACATCCATTTACAAAAACAGCAAATACAGTCTTATAAAGTCACTTCAAAACCCAACTGTTCAACAACTCAGCTTATAGCTTCATCATTCAAATGTAAAAATTCAAAGTGAGAAAAACAAAACCACCTTTCCTTCCAAACTGCTGCCATACGGTTATTACCACCACACTGTCATCACTGTAATCTCCTGGACATAATAATCACTCCAGTCTACAGCTAAAGGTCTTGGACCATCTCAGTTCTAAATAAAAAATGCTATGCATCATACACATGGTAAAAGGAGTCTTATGAAGAAACAAGGAATTATTTTTAACATCTTCTAATTCCAAAGCCTGTTTCTCCTCATGCTAGATTAGAACATTTGTCAGCTGTGCAATCACCATTCAAGACACTAAGGATATTAGCCATTGGTTTAAGTAGCCTTGAGTGCTCCACAGAACATCTGAGACAAGATTACCTTTAAGTTGATCTTCCTGGATTCCTATCTTTTGGCCACACAAATAGATACAAGATCAGAAATCACTTCTTTTGTGCTAAGATCTTTGCTCTCCCAGTTAAATTTCTGAGGCTTATATTACTTAAATAAAATTCTGGAAGTATTGACATTTAACTGTATGCTCCAGTAATTTAACTTTTATTTGATCAAACTATGCCTTCCAAATTATTCTGGTTCTAGGTTTGTATGCATGGTTTTTTTTAATTAAAAGAGTGCCTTTATATGACCACCTTTATAGAGGCTTTTTATGGACTCTATTGGATCCCTTTTCTGAATGGATGAATAGGTTTGTATGAATAGGTTTTGTTACCCTATATTTTGAGTAATGGCTACACTATGTTTGTAGCTTTCATACAAATACATCAGAAGAAAAGAGACTGCTATTTCTTAAACCTACTGTAACAATGTAACTACTGTAACAAAAATACCTGTTTCCAACTGCAGTTCCTCCTCCTACAAGCAAACGTGCACTGATTAACCACCTTCTGCTAAATGGACTCTAGAGACCCATTAATATTGATAGAACCTTGTATTGTTGAATTTTCTCAGTGCCTAGCTCCTATTCTACTTCCCTCAAACCACTGCCTTTCAAGGTCACTGCCTGTGGAATAAAAGACCAAATATCAGGAATACACCTATCACTAGGTGAGAAAATACAACCACTTATGTTTGTAGCAATTTTATTTTAAGCAATATATTACAAGTTAAAATAAACTACCATTAAGCACACAACCATAAATGGAAGATATTAGGAATCCTGTGTCTTTGAAAAATTCAGTTAAATCCCTTCTTTTGAAGACCAGACACTAATAAAATAATACCATTTTAAAATGAAAATTGTTTAAAAAATAGTTTTGACAACTAATATACTGCATTACTCTTATCAGGATAAAATTGGTGCATATTTGCAGAGTAACAGTGAAATTCTCTGTGCAGGCTTATTTTGGTTACAGGATGAGCACCAGGGTTGTCAAGGTGAAACCAACTACACAATTAACCGATAAACCTTGGGTTATTGGTTAATCTCGTCAACTACACACACTCCCCCTCCGCGCCGCCTCTGTATCAGAGACAGGAGGAAGGGGAGGGCAGGCTGGAGCTGATATGTGCAGGAAGACGGCTTTCAAGTAAGTTCCCCACACGTGCTGGCTTCGCAGACCAGCCTATCCCCTCCCTTAAACTTAAAAACCAGTTCCCCCCACCCCAGCACCAGCTCCCAGTGCTGCTTGCCCCTTCTTCTCCTGCACTGATACCTCTATCAGAGGCAGCAGCATAGGGACAGGGGAGGCTGCCATGGAGCAGCATCTGTCTGTGGTGCAGGGCCTGCTTTTTACAGAGGCTGGTCTGCTTCCCTGGCAAACAGACTCCCACCTGCCACCCACACTGCTACCTCCAATACAGAGGCAGCAGAGTGGGGTTACAGGAGGCTCTCCGGGAGTGGGGCTAGGAGTGCACTGGCTGCTAGCCCCACTACCGGGGGCTACTGAACAGTCACATAACCAGTGAAATTTCATGAAGTTATTCAATTATAAGCTAGCATCCTTAATCAGTACATTACAAAAGGTAAGATTAAGTTTAGCCTTCAAATCCTTTAAAAATATAATTTCTTATTTCATGATACTGCAGTCACTCTCCAGATCACAACTGAAGTTATTAAGCAACACAGGAAACAAAATAGGACTGTCTCTGGCATGTTAATTAAGTCAATTGATAATACTTCTTGTTCCTTTACTTGTATAAGATTTTCCATTGTTATAGATTACAGTGGTGTGGGAATAGAGAAATGTGGAAATGGACAGAAACATTTATATAAATGAGACTTCAATGTCTTATGCAGATTAAATGAAGTGTCCATGAGCACTAATAAAAAACAAGCCAATGTGACTATCACTCTGACATTAAACCTGGAAGTCTGACTTGGAATTTCAAAAGTCAGAAACCTAGATGTGTCTGAACTAGTCAGCACCTACAAGAATAACGAGATCCAAGTATATCATAGGATTATAGAATTTCCATACTGGATTAGACCAAAACTCCACCTATCCTGTCTCCAACAACAGCAAGTATGATCAGTGGAAGGTGTAAAAACCCCAAAGCAGGGAGAAATTAATAATTTGTCGACCATCCATAAAATTTAAAATCTCTTCCAAAATTTATTAGCACTAACTCTAACAACTCTAGATATTCTTGTTATCCCTAAGTGTTATTCCTTTTTGAACACAGATAAATTCTTGGCCTTTGAATTCTTGTGGAAAGGTTGACAGTTAAACTATTTCCTTTTTATTATTCTTGAATTTGCCCCTTTTTCATTTGATTGAATGTCTCCTTATTCTTTTGTTGTGCCTGACTAAATTAATTTAGTGGGTTCAACTCAGGACAGAAAATTTATTGCATTTTCAAATTACTACAAAAGAAAATTGTTTTTCTTACACAAATTGTAAAAAGCACTATGTTATAACCTAAACTTTTCTGCGACAAAATTAAAAGAAACTTTTTATGTTGATGTAGATGGTGTCAACAGAAATATGTGGAGATGTATTGTTACATTTTGCAGCACCTGAGACTGGGTGCGAGCTGGGAATCAGCTGATTTCTGGCTCCCATCTGGTCCCCGTTGCTCCCCCGTCTCCCATGGAGATGGCCGCACTGTCTCCTGGTTCCCCTCCCTCCTTGCTCCCTCTGATAAAGGCAGCAAGATGGGGGAAGAAGCAACTAGTTGTGGGACTAGTTGACTGATAAGCTTTGGCTTATTGGATAGTGACTAGTCACTTACGTCTCAGTAGGGATGTATCTAGACTCCTTCACAAACTAATATTAAATGCAAAAAAGAGTTTAAAAATAAAGTTTTACACAGTAGATGACAATTCAATATTATAACTGCCATGTACTTAAAGTAGTAATATAGTACAAGTACTGCACCATAAAGCAGACCTGTTATGTTACTCATTAGTAGGCAATTGGAACGTAAAACCCTGTTTAATAGGTTAACTGTTTAATGAGAATGGGCAGGAGGGGCTGCTCCAGCCTGACCAAAGGATCAGGAGCTGCTCCAGCACCCACCAGTTAACTGGAACTAATAAGCACCACCCATTAGGGTCATGCTCACAATTAACTTTTTGCATCCCAATAGACACAAAATGTGGAGGTGTCCACTTTAACCAAAAAATTCCTAAGTTCACTAAACATGGTGAGATATCAATATATTTTAAAGAGTCCTCAAATCAAGTTCTGCTTGATAATCCATCAATGTCACAAGAATCCAGACACCCACAAACTAGAATTACATCTGATTAGAGATTAAAAGCAGATCTGTATAGAGAGACTCTCTCACTACAGATGCATTTTAAGGCACATTTTAAATTCTTACTCTTCAAATGGAAGATTTGAGTGTATTTTAATGAAACATTTGATCAAAGTTTTTTTTTGTTTCTTAAATTCAAGTTGTAATTTTATGACAGCCCTAAAAAGCAGATTTGACTAAATCTGCACACTGTACATATCAATAATATGATTGAAAAGGAGAACATTTTGGAGCAAAGGACACAAAAAAAGTTTACAGCTACTAAGAATATCTGTAACTACCAGATGCTAACTTCTTTATCTAGCATGAGGTTTATTGAAGAACTACTAATTCAATCACAATAATAATAAACACTCTGTCCTACTATTCTTCTATCTGGGGATGTCAAAGTCCTTTACAAATGTCAATTAAGTCCTTCAGCAGCTTGTTTTAATATAGTTAACCTTGAAATAACTTTTTTCCTGTCTTTCTCTTCTGCATCTGAGGAAATGAGTTATAGCTTACAAAAGCATATGCTCCAATATCCTAATAAATTGGTTAGTCTTTAAGGTGTCACCAGATTTTGTTGTTTTTACTGAAACAAACTAATTCAACTACCTCTCTGAAATCTGACAAGAAACTACTCCTCATGGACTCACATTCTTTAATCCTTCTGAAAATATAACCTCATCCTTTTAACTTTAAGTATCCCTGAAAGGAATGGAAGAAACTGACAAGGTGGAAGAGGGATAATGTAACATCCATTTATGATTTTCTTAATTTCTGGCCTGCATATTTATACCTGCCTCTGGAAATTTCTACTACATGCATCTGACTAAGTGGGTCTTTGCCCACGAAAGCTTATGCTCCTACACTTCAGTTAGTCTATAAGGTGCCACAGGACTCCTCGCCGCTTTTGCAGATTCAGACTAACACGGCTACCCCTCTGCTACTTAATAGAAAAGGTGCAACATCACCTCTCTTTCTATTGGTTAAAGAGAGAGTGGAGACCCCCCCTTCCGATAGGACTGGCCTTAGGATGCCAAGTTGCTGGAGCAAATTGGCATACGAAGGTGCAGTGGGGAACAGGGTAGAAAAAATAAGCAAGGAATCTTCTCCAATCCTGCTTGCTCCAAGGCAAGCCTATATGCAACGCTAAACAGCCAGAAAAGAATGAGAAAATGAGGCATCTGCTTTTGGGCCCAATTTCTGTTGAGACTGCATGGGGCTCTCTAGAAGTGCAAGATGACAGTCTAACACAGCAGTAGAATACAAACATGGGAGAAATTGAGGGCCCCATGGGAGTAGGGGGCCCTTCCACAAGGCATCCAGCCCCCATGATGCCACATCTGACTGGTGGTGAAGAGCTAGGCAAGAAGGGATGTACGGAGTTAACTGATCACCTGCTAAGCAGCATTCCTAGCATGTTTACCAGGGTAACCCCTTAACCGGCTGCTCCAGCTCGGCCGGGGCCACCATGCTGCAGGCGGGGGTCCGCTGCAG